GCAAGAACGGTCACTCCTTATAATAAGGGTTGCTTGTTCTCGGGTTTTATTTTTCATTGCATTTGGGGGCGTTTTAACGGCGTTTATTTTGTCTCACAGATTGGTGTTTTTCGTTGTCGGTAGAATACGGGCATGGTATTCCCAACCTCGAGTAAATGCCATGAACACGTGACCTGATTACTTTCCTGGAAAACGTTCCCTGTACCGATAAGAAAAGCAGTCGAGATAAAAAAAGCGTGATTCTCGACGAAACAAGCGAGAGACTGAAAATAAATTTGGCACGCTCCGAATTCCGTGCGATTTCCGGCTGATTTTCCGCGCAAGTGTTCCTTTTAGTTGTGCACCGAATTATAATTATGATATTTGATATGGAGAATTACAATGTGCAGACTATAACTTAGCAGCGAAGAATAAATAAACGAATTTGCGTACGTGTTCATTTCGATAAACTTCTGTAGCTGGTAATTGATCTAGATGTTCAACTCCTGATGTTACCTCCTATGAGCTTGTTGGCGCGAGATTCCGTTAGTACGGAAGTTTCGTAACAACCCTCTGTCGCAAACATTTTAAGGGAATTGAGCGTAATTCTTGTGAACAGAGCCGCGTAAAACGTTTCGACGGAACAATGAGCTTACATTGGAAAGATCCTTTCCTACAAACATTTCTAGAAGAAGAAAAAAAAAATGTTCTGGCGACGTCACGTTGCTTTTTAACTTTACAGGGGCCGCTACTTTTTTGATCTATTAAATGTTTTTTTTTTTTAATATTCAGACGTGCTAATGCGGTAACAAACATCGACGGTCAAGCTTTAACATATTAAGCTTTCCGTTTTTGTTGTATTTGTTTAATTACGTTTTTTCCCTCACTGAAATTGAATATTTAATGCGACAAGGATGGCGAAAATGTCTGAACGGCCTTCAGTCTAAGCGAAATAAAATAAAAGAAGGAGAGTTTTGAGCGTTACATTACGGTGCTCTGAATGTTTGTTCCACTAGTGTTTTTATTTCTTTTATTTCTGCAATAATGCGATGCAGTAACTACAAAAGGTATAGTCTTCATATCTGTGAATCTTCAACTTTCCCATGGTCTCAACAGGTGTTTAGGCTTCTATTTCGGTGATATTTCTTGTTCCTGCTTTTTAGGTGCTTTTCCGTACAAAAAAAAAAAAAAAAAATTAAAGTTGAAGGAAAAAAAATTATTAGCGTATTGAATATCCAGAAAGCGTGATATAGAGGGTGATTTTTCTTTAAGCATAAGATATTAATTTTTAAGAAAATCCGTGAAAGCTACACATATGCGGTTTGTGCAGGTGAGTTATACGGACAGGTGGATATAGTATAGGGGGCTAAACGTCACTATCACACGGCTAATTAAGAAAATTGGTTTATTAACTTATTTATTATTAAATAGACATTAAACCTATGACTTATTAAACCTATTAAACTTATGACCAATTAAAACTTGCTGAGCGTCATGCTAACCAATAAATCAATCATTTTTAGAAAGTCCTCTGAGCGCGTAGTAACGTAGTAGTGCGCTAAAGCTAGCACTCGTACGAAAGATAGAGGGCTGGGACTACGATAAGAGACAGAAAAACCTAGCGGGCGAGTCAACGTCCCAGTAGCCTTGCTCCTGCTTCACGAATGGTAACATCAGCGCATCACTTCGCTTCTCACGCGCTCAAAGTGTTTCTGAAAATGACTGATTTACTGGTTTCAAATGACGCTGAGCAAGTTCCAAATTGAAACCGCATGTCTATTTTCGCTCATAAAAAAGTGAATGAACAAATTTTACTTAATTAGCCGACTGATTGCTCCGATTAGCCCCCTATACCATGCCCCCCTGGCCACATAGCTCAGCTGCGGAGCTTTCCCGACTTTTTTGAAACAAATCTGCTAAGCTTAAAAAATATAAAAAAGTACCTCGCATAATTTGCACAAACGTAATTGGAAGCAATTGCCGTGTCTTTTTTAACCGTATTGTAGTATACGTATGCGCCGAGAAATTGAGGGAAAGGAGGAGAGGAGAACGCGTGAAAACGTCGGAACTCCGAGCTCTGGTTGGAACGATTAGTGGGTAGGCCTAAAGGGAGCTAGCTCCCTTTGTCTCCACTGTACTTCACAAAAGTGTTAGAACGCGGAACGCCGGCGTCTGGCATTTGGCGTTCCGCGTCCTCACGCGTTCGACGAGTGCAGTGGAGACAAAGGCTGCTAGCTTTGGGCCTACCCACTAATCACTCCAATCAGAGCCCGGCGCTGTGACCCGCCCGCGTGCTCTGGCCTCCTCCTCTCCCTCAGCCTCTCGGCGCGTAATGTTCGGAAAAGATCTTTTATCTTTTATAAACTATTAGAGAACTTTCAACTACGGGCATCAACACACAGGGCACCTTATGTGAACGCTACAGAACAAGTGTTCTCTAAATCATTAAAACTACAAAACCTGGGGTGTTTAATACACGTTACGTTAACGATTTGGGAATACTCTGTTTAGGTAGGTTATTACAAAAAAAGAATCTACTCGGCGGAAAGCACAGTCATATAAAAATGGTTGGGCGTCGGTATGGATGAATGTCTAAATGTCGTTTTTCTTGATCATCGATGAGTGCGAGTGCCAGGTGATCTTTCTCACGGAAAGGCAGCACGCATTTTTTCAAGTATTTCTTTAAAGAGAAAAAGAACTCCCCGAATATTTTTTTTCTTAAGTTCTAAGATGAAACAAACAATACGTCAAAAAATAGACTTTCCTAAAAATATTTTTTAAAAAAAGTCAGTATTTTTGTGCGAAACAAAAGTTGAGTCATGAAATATTTTGATATTTCTGGACGTCCATGCCAAAAATTAAAATGAATAGGTATTTTTTTGTTTCGCTCCTATAGAAACAACCCCTCCCTTTTTCCCCCACGCTCCCCCCCCCCCCCCCTAAAAAAAAAGAGCGTTTAAGTTTTTAGATCGCCGAAGTTCGTCACAAAATTAGCTGTCCCTCGAGAGAGAAATGATGAATAAAAAGCGGGATATTTACGTGGTGAGTCGTGAGACTCATTTTAAGTGAGAAGCAATTCCGAGACATTCTTCCGCTTTGGCGGAAAAATGTCTGCACTGGCTACATTCTCATCTACAGCTGGGAGACAAGTCGCTCGTTGTTACCGACTAAGCTCTAGACTGTAGAAACATGCACGCACCCCAATATTTTGCTTTGTCGCGTCGCCACGAAATCGAAGCACCATGCAGAAGCATGCCGCGATGCTGGAAATGAGCCTCACTACCTAAACACAAAGTGCTCTATCCAGCCCCTCAAAGTAGCATTCTTTTCTTGGTTAAGTGTCGCCTTAAATCGTTATTTAACGGGAGCTGGTTCACGAGTGCTCTCAAAGGGACGAAACACACACAGCTCAGAAGGAAACCGTTGTTCGAGGAACGCGAGCGCACATGCCGATTACTTCGGAGAAATGCCACTTTTCTCCAAAGCCCGAGAAAGGCTCCAGCGACGACAAATAATATGTAAATGTTTCGTGGCGAAACACGTGGACGAAAGCGCTCCGACAGCGTTTTTCGCGATGCCCGAAATAGCCCTAAGCGAGCGTTTTCTCGATCGCGGAGCTTCATTTGCGTCGAAATCGGGGAATGCGGAGAGGCCATTTGCATGTTTGGAGCGGGAAGGGTCCTTCTGCACGGCGTTCGCTTTTCCAGAAGACTCCGCTTCACGTTGCGACGGACCGCAGAGCAGGCGAGGAGCCATCGAAGTCGATTCAACGACGACTTTGTGCCACGTGACCAACGGGAGGGCGCCGTGGCGCGTGGGCCGAGTAGTCACGTGACAAGGTCGCAGCACTCAATTGGCTGTTATGGCTCGTAGCGACCGCTGCGGTCCATCATAAGGTGACAACACAGCCTAAGCTTACAGAATCTGAGCGAACACCGAATTATAACGCGTTGAGCAGTTTGTTTGTTTGTTTTTTTGAACGCTACATGACAAATTTGAGTAAGTGTCGACATCGCGAGCGCTGCTTACACAGTCGGATACTTGGTCGTTTATCTGGCGTCACAACCGGGTCGGAATGCGAGAGGAATGTATTTACGGTGAATAGACACGATCTTCGAGTGCCGCTCGTACCCCGAGGAAAATGATTTCGCTTATATCGATGTAAATACAGGTTGAAAGTGTTTGCTCGCATGAACGAGGTACAGGATCTTAGAGCGATAAACTGGCAGCTGAAAGTGACCTCCAATTGGCCGCTGTCATGTTGCACATTTTTGAGCACTAGACAGGTGACCTCATATAGTTTACGTCTAGACGTTAACGAAGTACCGCGCAAATATTTGCTTATTGATCTTTAATAACAGTACCGATGATATAAGTTACGTTAAGTTTCTTTTAAGTCCAAAATGTGCTTTTACGACAAAACCTCTGGCACCTTCGCAGTGCCTGCGCTAAATTCCGTGAGCCGCGGTGCTGAATTTTGGAATTTCAACGGAGCTAGACACAAATCTCTGGGGCTGACAGTATCGAAAAAATAGTTTATCATGATTTTTATGGTGATCGCCATACAAATTCGCCATACAATTGTACGACATGGCGGCAGCCAAGTGGGGGTCACTTTTGTCTGGTGAACGGGATACCAGTTTATGGCCCTAAGCCCCTCTATCTCATTGGCTCATATTCCTGTGACTTGGTTTGTTGTCACTTTCGAACCAATTTCGTTGTGTTTGGGCGGGGTACGACTCTAAAGGCTGCTTATACGTCATACACTGCTTATACGTCATACAAAAGACAGTCTGCATGCAGATTTGAAGGCGAGTAACCGCAAGATCCGTGCTTCAAATGCCGCGTGAGAGTGAATTCAAGGTGGAAACTTGGCACGCGGCTATCGAACCACGAATAACGACGTGTATCTTGCTTACAGACTTGTTTTTGTATGACGTGTGAGCAGTGTGACACCAGTTGAAGACGCGCTCCGGGCAGCGCACTTATGGTAGTGTCTACCCGGTTAGAAAACAACTTACCTGGATGCTCGACGACAGTATGAACGTGGAAGCTTCCCGCAACCATGATGACGGAGTAGAGAAACTGAAACGGAGCGAAGAAAAAAGAAAACTTGTCAAGATCAGGACAGCTTCTCGCAGATTGCGTGTGCACTAGACCGAAAGATCTATCGATCCCTCAGACTGGTAGGGACGTCCCAGTCTTCGAGGAATTGGAACTCAAAAACACGGAGCACGGCCTGCAGCCCTGTGCTCCGGGAGCTCCATCTTTATCGCCAGGGAAATAAAAATCTTCAAGCTGAAGTCGATTTCTTCGGGTAAAAAGATGCGACTGAATCTGCAGTCGTTGACAGGATTAGGACGGCAGGGAGGTCGTTCAGTCGTCATCCCTCCAACGCGAGCTTCCTACCGGCGATAACGCTTCCGCGTCTCGTGGTCATCGAGCGTGCGCGCGCAGTCAAAGCACGCTAGAGGGCAAAAAGGCCGGACATTTAAAAAAGACGCCCCGCTCTTCCGTCCTTTCAATGTCTATAAAGATTTTCTATCCGCCGTAAAGGTAAGAACGGCTTGTTTTTCCAGCGCGCTGCCTCCAGCACTCGCTCGTTGACTAGCGTCGTGCCATAGCCTCCTCTATGCTCTCAAAGCCTGGCAGCTCGACGACGGAGCCATAGAGTGCCCGGCCGCAGATTTGGAGCGCGAGGATCTGGTAGCAAAGGGCATCAAAGAGCCATTTCTCGGGGAACCTGGAGGTCGGCGCACAGCGTTTCAGCGGCGAGGACCCGAAACACACTTGTTCACAGGAGAGAAGTGTGTTTCGGCGTCTCGCCGCAGCGGGGCGCCAGTCGCGTGGCTCTCCTCTCATCCGTTGTCTGCCGCTTCACCTTTTCCACTTCGGCGGCTGCTTCTCGTGGCGATCGGCCAGGTTTTGTCAGTATACACCAACTCATGTTTACAAACAAACCGGAGCGCCCCTAGCGGACACCACCGGCGCCTCGCATGCGCGATGGGGGTGTGGGCAAGAAGCTCGCCGTCGCCCATAAACAAACCATTGAAATGCTATGTTATCGGCGTCGGTGTGAGTCCCCTGCCCTTTTTCGAATTCGGATTGTTGATTCTACGTCTTCCTGGCAATGTCTGACTACTTGAGCGGCCTCAGGGAAATTAACGAGGCTCGTTACACCGCAAAACTTCGCGCGAATAATGTGACATGCGGCGTCTCATTCCGCGTGGACGCTGCAGAATGTACGCTAAAGTCTGATTCGCATGATGGATTTCGCTCGCAATTTTCGGTCGCGACGCCGCTCGGGCTGCAAAAGCGTGAACCGTAGCTGAGATGGTCGACGTCGATACTGAAAATCTCAAGCAGAATCGGACCAAGTGAATGAGGCATAACAAGCCAGTGATGGCCACTGAAAACAATGGTCAACATCTCTTTGTATCTACTGTTTAGATCCAGCCTGCTTACCAACCTTCAAACTTAAGTCTTTTGAGGCCTGCACTTACTTGTTATCGCAAGTACCGGGCCCACGATTTGTCTACGGGCCGACGTCGTCTAAAAGAGCAGACGACAAGCAGAAACGTTTGAAAGAGCAGACGGCAGTTCAAACGATCAGGCGGCCGTTTGAACTTGAAGATGCACTGAACGTAGTCCGCAGGTGGTCTGTACAACTTGACGGTTTTCCGGTGTTCATGTTGGAACAAAACAAATAAATCTTATGACCATAAGTATCCGTGAATTCAACCCAAAGTGCTTCCCGCCCAAGCAATCGTGGTCCGACGGCGTCTGGTTTTCCCTTTTCACGGCACATATCCACGTTCTCGGACGAACTGAACACATGAAAACTGACCTTCAAACCTTTCTCGCCAGTCGCGGCGTTTTGACGAGAAGGCGGGTTTTTGTCTGGTTCCTTTCAAAACAACGCAGAAATACGCGTACACATCTCACATGGGGCCTTCCGCCCACAGCCCCAGACCGGAAGTGCGCCCGACGCGCTACCACCGCGCCGTGACGTAACAGAGATGAGTTCGTGTGTAGAGGAGGCTATGGCAGTGGTTTGGCTGCGCCTGCACGCCCGAGGCTCCCGAGACGCTGAAGCGTTCCCGAAGTAATGAAGGAGGGAGGACTGATCGATCTCCTTTCTCATCCTGCCTTTGACAGCGAAAAAGTCAGTCATGCCAGAGATATTTGTCTAGACGCCGCCTCTTTCGCCCGGAAAGAGCGGTCTAAAATGAATATTCAATTTTTCTTTATTTATCTATTTTTTTCTCGAATTCATTCTTTTTTTCTCTCTTTTTTGAACTAGAAGCTTGAAAAACCGTTTTCCTTGCGACGATTGTCAACGCAGAAAGAGAAATTCTATATGCTTCTTTATGAATCGCGTTCTTTCATCCACAACCGAACTACGTGCACAATGAATTATTTTTACGTCTTGGTTTTTTTTTTTAATTCAGTTTTATTTAGAGGTCCGTGTGAACGGAGCCAAGATTATGAACTTTATTAGGGTTTTGCCTTTTCTTTTGTTTACATTTTGCGTCCGAAGATTTGCACCATATTGTGGGGTTCCTCAAGGAAAGCTCAACATTGCTTCGCGTGAATCTTTAATAACGATAAGCCTCGCAATTTTGAAGACTATATCATATTAGTGCAATATAAGTGTAAATTTAAAACGTAAACCTAAATAAAAGTGTAAAGAGCTTATGAACATAAAAAATAGATGCATCCAGGTTCTAATTTGAAAATTACCTATAATATTGCGTAATCAATTTGATTATAAGACTTTTTTTAATAATCATTTGAAAGGTATTCATTTTTAGCATGTTTTACCAGACTGTGAATTATATGCAAATATCTACCCCTATCACGACTACATCAACTACATCAACTCTATCTTCTTTTTTTTAAAGATTGGTTTGAGTCGCACCCGTTTTATGTCAAGTTCCGTCCTGTAATTGAAAAGTCAGTTCTCCGCAAAATTATCTCCAACTAAGTTCGCACCCCTGAGCATTCGCAGTCACAATATATTCGCGAGAAAAACAAAAGTTTACTTTTCACGGGTTCTGTTTGAACGAGGGTGCAGTTGATATCTGGATTCCTAACTGTGCGCATTAGCGGGGAGATCCTGTGAAATTGGGAAGGAGGGGGTCAATATCCCGGCGTGCGAATCGCCGAAGGTCTGTTTGCCTTCTCGCGCGTCAAGCTGAAACTTTCAATGTGTTCCGCCAGGGAGAACGAGTAACTTAACAGCCAACCGCGATTATTGTAACTGTCAAATTTAAAAAAAAGGAGGGCGTAGTTTTTCATTGTTTACGCTTCTTCCTTCGTGGTTCGTTTCTCATTGTCCTTATCGGCGAATAGGCCTGTTTGTCTCGGCCAGAGGGCGCTGTAGCGTCCACGAGACGCGACAACAAAAGAGACAGCTCAACTAGCGTTCCCGGGACGCGACCGTTTATTGCTGACGCAAAGCGGCGTCCTAGCGTCCCTTCAGGCACGATCCATGGGCGTAGACTAGCGTTTGTCTGCGTCCCTCAGTGCCTACCCACAGGCGGCGCCAAAGGCTGTGGTATACTAGAGTTCTCGATAAGCTCCCTACGGGAGCCAGAGTTGCGCGTCTGTTTTTCACGTGCCGCCGCGCCGCTATTAGCCGAGATCCGATCACGTGAGAAGCCGGATCAAGGCCGTGCAGGTAAGTAGACGTTGCACGTGCCCCGGCCTACGTTCCCCTGCCTTTGAGCGCGCCGCGCGCCTGGAACGCCCGGCGCCGCTATTCGCCGAATTCAGTCACGTGACGAGCGGGATCAACATGCCGTGCAGGAAAGACGCTGCTAAGGAGTTGAACGCGCAACTCTGGCTCTGTGGTATACGGAGATCAAGTCGTCTGCTTCTTGCGCAGGAGTTGCGGTGACGTCAGAAAGACGCCGAGCTCTGATTGGCTCTGATTGAAGGATAGTGGGTAGACCTCAGAGAAAGCTGCCCTGAGGTCTACCCACTAACCTAGATGAAGAACCAATCAGAGTTCGGCATTCTGACGTCACCAGAACCTCTCCAAAAGAAGCAGACGAACTTGCGCCTGGTATTCTCCATCGTGGAGCATAGCTAACGTGGCGTGGCGTAGCGGACAATGAAGGACGCCGATACTGATTGGTCGCAGATACCGAGTTCCTGCTCGCTGGCCAATGCAAGGCCCACGTTCTGCGCTACACTACGTTCGCAGCTCTCAACGTCGAAGTAGAACAGAGCGTTAACAGAGCGTTTGGAAGGACGCAATGCGACGCGCGACGGAAACGCGACCTAAAAATCTTTCAGCCTTTCCACTCTGGTGAAGGAAGACCAGCGAAGCTGTACTATGATGAGATGACCTCAAGGACGAGTTTTTGAACGACCTCAATGACGACGCCTAAAGGACGACGTCTAGAACGACCTCGAGGACGACGTCTAGGGCGACCTCAAGGACGACTTGTAGGAAGACGCCTAGGACGACCTCAGGGACGACGTTTAGGACGACCTCGAGGACAACGCCTAGGACGACCTCAAGGACGACATCTAGGACGACGCCTAGAGAAATTCAGCCCTTCCACTCTGGTGAAAGCGAGAGTGGAAAGGTTGGAAAGGTTGCCGCCATCTATAAGCGAGGCCGGCAAGCCGGTTGTCTGGTTGCCGCCGTCGCTCATAAATGGCGGTAGCTGTCCAGAGTTTTGTGTCAACATTTGTTTGGTACCGGACACGAACCTCGGAAACCTAGCCCTTAACAGCTCCGCTGTAAAAATATCAGATTTTGCTCGCCAAGGGTTCTGTTCACATCTTGAGAGCCACAGGTCTATGCCACAGTCTCGTTGGCTGTGGGACAATAATAAGACGCTAGAGATCACACAATGCGTATCTGACGCTCTCAGTGACAACTGTACGGTCGGAGCACCCCAACTCCTCCAATAGCTCCGACGGGGCTGCAGTATGTAAAAATAAATAAAGAAATAAAAAAATAAAAAAAAGGGAACTCAAACAACCCTCAGAGTTCGCGATTAATGCATGGAGCGCGTACTTATTTCTTGTGAGTTCATTTTTCGGCGCTCTTTGATTCGTATAGGAGC